TTGACTTTAACAATAAAATTACTCCTAGCGTTGATTCTGTCAACATCAATTGCAGACAAAAAGTCTATCCTTTTGCTGTCAGCTGATTAAAAAAAATAGATATATTGTTAAGATATTTTGAGGTTATCGACGCTTATTTTAGTATTAATGCAATCAAGTAACGTAAAACTCATTCCAGTTTTTATTATACCATATCAAAACAGCTATATCAACATGGAAGTAGTAAAAGTGGTATTTAGTAGTATCTCACTGGTAGTGGAAATGATTATGGTATAAGGAATATAATTCCAAAACAAAGGATTAGCTCATTGTATCAAAGATATGATCTTATTTTAAAACTGAAGATCTAAGAGGAATGCATCTACAGTACTGCATCTGATTTTATATGTTTAGTAGTCAAGCATAACAGCTAACCAACAGTTATCGAATGTATCACAGTATTTATTTTCCTTAGCGATGATTATATGTCAAATTGGCATGTATCATGAGAGCTTTTGCATCAACCTGAACTACATGTTGATGTCGTACAATAATCTTATCACAAACTTATTAACAAACTGTGACTTCACACTGTTTATATGTAGAATATATCTTCGGGACCAGATATATACTGTGGTGTGAGCTACTTATAAGTAGTATCTGACGTGAGTGTCAACGTAATGTCTGGCAGCAGAAGATGGGAGAAGATCAAGAAATGAAGAGTGGGAACACAATGGAATTTGTATGAAACGCATGAATAGTAGTGACAATGGATTGATGTTTGGCAACAGGAACAGTCCAGTTCAATGTGATGAACTGATATTTTGCAAATGAACGATTTACGATATGGTTTTCCTATTTTACTGAGGAACTCTGTAATTTTCGTTAAATACAATTCGGTTGCCCCCACCTGTGTTCTCGTTCACTACGATACATGTTAAAAAACAAACAAACAAATTTCACTTTTTTTTCTAAAACCCAGAAGTTTTGTTTATGCAATCAATCAGTGAGTATTTTTTTCATTCAATACAGAAAAAGCCTTCTTTTCGATGAGTTTATATTGTATCTTTCAATTTATTCTTTACATTAATTTATTTATATATCAAGAGAGATGATTTTTTCGAGTTAATCGATTCGTCTGATGGACATGTAATTCAATTATATGTTTATAATTCTCAATTGGATTCATGTCGTGAAGTACACCTCAAACCTGATTCCAATTGGGGTGGAAATGGTTTACTTGGTTGTGATATTGGTTATGGTTATCTTCATCGTATTCCAACAGCTGCATTAGCATCACCGGAATCTTCTTCACAATTATCGAATAATGTATCAAATCATCCACGGGAATCAATGAAACCATCAACCAATGGTGAGTCAAAGCTACCGCCTGTATCAGTATCATCAAATGAAATTACCAATGGAGTTGCTCCTCCTAGTTATCCTCCACCTGCATATACATCAAACAATACACAATGGAATAATGCATTTGCTGAGGTGAGTGTGGATATATCAAGAGCATACATATAAAATATGTCATTTTATTATTTCTAGTAATATATTTGTACACTCTGTTGAAGAGTTTGTGGGGGAGTTAGTGGTCTAAATTAGTTTTTCAAATTAAAACAACTGAGGTGTTTATGTCAGCCAATAATCTCACTGCATAACACAATCCAAGTACTGTGATTATCCAGTCCACCTGTGGTGTGAGCTACTTATAAGTAGTATATGACGTGAGCGTCAACGTAATGTCTGGCAGCGGAAGGCGGGGAAAGATCAAGAAAGGAAGAGTTAGAACACAATGGAATTTGTATGAAACGCATGAATAGTGACAATGGATTGATGTTTGGCAACAGGAACAGTCCAGTTCGATAGATGAACTGATATTTTGCAAATGAACAATTTACGATATGGTTTTCCAATTTTACTGAGTAACTCTGTAATTTCGCTAAATACAATTCGGTTTCCCTCACCTGTGTTCTCGTTCACTACACACCGTTTAGCCAGAACTAATGCTATTTATAACGTTGGTAATGTCATTTTTGTCAACCGTAGAAAAATAATTTCTACTCACTAGTGATTAGTGAGATATTACTGTTAACTCAGGTCTGCAAATGATTAGATATCGTAGATAAGACGATTATCGACTTGGATAGATTTCCATGTAATAAAATGACATGCTTATATACAGAATAATGAACATAAAACTTGGTAAAGTATCATAGGGCGAGGTGTTGAAGGAAATCAGTTCACTGGCCACTTATTTTCCAATTAATATGAAGCCGACCTGTTCAGCCTAATTTTGAGGCATCATATTAAAACTATGTATGTATAAGTATCCTGACGATTTATTAGACGGTACCGTAGCAAGTAGACAACACAATCCTTTTTACTAAACGTTTTTTGAACAGAGAAATGAGAAGACATTTTGTGAGATAGTAAGTACCATTTCGTGCTTTCTCGTCAGTCACATACAAGCAACATGTTATTTTGTGTAAATACAGTTTTGAAGATAAGGTCAAAATTTCTTATTTAGCATGACATTCACTCACTAGAACCATGGTAAACAAAGGTCAACATACAGTTGTTTTTGAACACATAAAGTTGGATTTTTCCGACCAATCAAGATAGCTTCGAGTAGTTTCAGTGTGTGTGGGTTTTGATTACATGTCACAACTCTAAAGGCTGATTTTGGGTCAATTTGATGACCACTCATCATTAGATATTTTGCAATGGACGAGGCTGGGTTTCTTGATCGATCTTGAGATGACGGGCTAGGTGGATGAATCATGGATTTGATTAACCATTTTGGAATATGTTCCTCTATCCTGTCTTCCAATCGGCGATCTGTCCTACCTACGTAACTTTCTCCTCAGTTACATGTATTTTTAAAAAGAAATACAATCAAACATAAGCTCCACTGTTTTGCTTTTCTTGTAGGTTCCTCTAGTTTCTTCATCAATGCAACCTGCGCCATCACTTCCGCCGGCGCCACTACCAGCTACTTATCCAACTCAAGTCCCAATCAATCCAGTAGATCATTCTGATCATGCTTACACTTCTGTTTCACCTTCAGCATTTACACAAAATTCAACTATTGCGCCTCCTGCACCTCTTCCACCTGGATTAACAAATATGTTTAGTATGCCGTCACAAAATTCTCCATCTGTTGTCGGTGGTGGTGTTCCTGTCTGCCCGTCAGATGCACCATTGATTTCTTTTGAATCGACAAAAAATGTTGTTAATACTCCCCAATATTCACAATTTAATATACCACATATGTCAAGTGCTCAATATTTTCATCCTATCACTGATAATCTACCTACGTCCAGAGTAATCACATTGCCCGGAATGCCTCCATTGGATGTGAAAATGCCTCCACTAGAAAGTATGTCTAACAGTTTATTACAATTTAGTTTTTAACTATGTTACACTATTCATGTTTCTTACCAATTATGTAATTAGTATTTCCACTAACCGACAGTGAACAATGACTTCTGTTTATATGACAGAGGATTAATTATTAATTAGCATTGTCTATTTCAATTGTTTCAAGTAGAAATGTACAGCCAGGAAGGATTTTTCTGTGACCGATTTGGTCTCGCGCGCTGTTAGGGGTATGAGGGCGGATGTCACTTCTCGGCTGCCCACACTGTGGGAGGGTATTTCTTGAGGAATCTGAAAAGCAAGGTAGATTAGTGTTGGTCTTAGCGACCTGAGAGCGTGATCCCAGAGCCCAACGGACAACTACTTGAGGCGGGTCACGCACGGTCTTTTTGTGGGAACTTTTAAAGTATTAGCTCTGCTCTTGTTTAAAAAACCCTACCACCGGAGACGGAAATTCGTGAGGTAAGGTGAAGTGTGACATTTTTTGGGTCCACCTATTCTAACCCCTTCTTTCCTTGTGAAAAGGCAGCATCGCTGCAGATGCTGGTTGTCCGAGGGAAACAGTTTACTGCTGTCACACCCCTCTACGGTCAGCAATACGACTTCACCCTCAGACCTTGGGTAGCTGCTTTTAGTCTGATCGTTCTTCAATCGACCTACCTGGCATGGTAGAACGTACAGGAACATATGTTTCAGCCAATATAGCTCGGTTGGGCCATCATGATATGCAAGCCCGACCACCACATCAAGGTAGCAGCTACGGTCGGTAGTAGAAATGTACAGTTATTTCACTTTCTATATTTGTCAACAGCATAGCTAGAGAGAATACGTAATGATAAATTTAAACAAATAATAACTGTTTGGATAGTCTGTTTATAAGTTTTTTGTTGTTACAATTTATGAAAATACTGTTCTAGTCTGTAGATTTATATGGCGAAAATTTGAAATTCTGCTATGATCATAAAATTCAGTGACTACTATACTAATCATCATCGATCGTAGGTGTCTTCAAAGCGTTGCTCATGTATCACGGCACAACTGAATAAGCAATGCTATTATTAACAAACGGGTGCTAGGTAAGGATGGCAGGTCAATAGATGAAGTATTGAAACTGCATCAGTTGAGGTGGTTGGGACGTATGCCTAACCACCAACTGCCTCGACGAGCTATGTTTTGTGGTGTAGGTGCAGGTTGGAAGAAAGCTAGGGGCGGTCAGACCAAAGCATGGCAGAAATCCATGAAGTCACTGACAAGTGGACTGAGTCATGTAGACTACCTGGTTGGGAACCGCGAGATGATAATAATCGATGGTTAGATACTCTGAATGACATGGCTCAAAACCGTTTGCAGTGACGCACGTGCATTCATTCTTTGTGTTCTCTCAAATCCTAAACTTTTTAATGCTTCACTTTATCTTTTTAAGTCTATTTCACTAGATTCTACTTCTTGAATAATATCTTTGAACGCTAATCCTTCCGATTAATGCTAATACTTCTACCACCTCTACTACTACCATGGGATTTGAATTAACAATTTCATCTCTTTGCTAATGTGATATGGCAACTTGAACTGATGTACGTACGAACGTACGTACGAAGTTCTTTGTTTTCGTTGACCTTGACTTGATACTAATCATCAAAAGTTTAATGCATACTATTTTATGTGTAAGCTTTAACAGAACGTATACTCGACAGTGTATTTATTTAACTGATTGATCATCAAATCAATTTTAAAAGTTTGTTATATAATTACTGACAAGTAGTCGTAATTGGGCTGTTAATAGTTACATCATTTCTAATAAGATATTATTTTTAGTATTGGTTCTTCTTATTTAGGAACGATACTCTCGTATTCAAATGTCAAAAAAAACTTGTGAACTAGTTTATTGAGATTAGATGTAAGGTTGTAAGCATTTGCATTTCTTTCACATATCTATTAACTTAACTAAATAACATGAAAGACAACGATAACAGTTTATAGATCCGATTTCTTTCAAATTAAAATTAACTGAAATGAAACAATTTGAAGAATAACAATACTGTATAGTAGTAATATTTCAATGTTGTTATAAACCATTGTAAATAACTGCGATTTATATTTTAATAGAATACAATCCGAATTTGTTTTACCTTTGCTCTTTTTTATTGATCACATTTATTTATATTTAGTCAAAATAAACATTGTAACTTAATACTACGATATTACTGATTATTATTGGTTTTTCTTGGTAAACAACCATAGTCATTGTATTGACATAATAAAATTATATTTTATATATGTTGAAGTATTGATTTTGAGTAGTTTTTTTGTTTCGTTTTGAAAAGTAAAAAACAACTAGCAAAATAAAATGAATCAACTACACATCTCAATGATTGTTATATTCCCTTGCCCTAATGAAAGTTCACCAAAGGTGGTGGGGGGGAGGAGCTAAATGCATGTCAAACAGAGTATTATTCATATTTTTGGTGAATTTAAGTCACAAACAGTATGTCACAGGAAAATTACTTCAGGTTCATAATAAGTTTTTTTTGATTAACGTCGCTTGTGTATATTAGGTGTTGTCGAGTGCTATTAGAGAGAGAGAGCTATAAGGGTGGTTGTAAATTCCCAATTTCGCATATCTTAAATAATACTTGTTGACAAACGCAGATAAAAAATAATGTTAGGAGTGCTTTGGACGTTTTAAATGTGCTAGCTCCAGGTTTTTAAGTCTTTACTGCCAGTGACGGAAGTCCGTTGGGCAAGGTAAAGTGTAACATGTTTAGGACTTACCTTTAACCATTTTCTTCCGTTGTGGTAAGGCAGAATCACCGAAAATGATGTCATTGTAGCTGCTACAGTCGAGTGATACATAACTTCCGTCCTATATGAAAATTACATGCATATTGTGCTTTCAGTCTTAACGGATATTCACTCTTTTTTCGTTAATCGTATTGAGTTATATAATTTTTAAGACTAAAATAATATTTTTCAATTAGAGTTATGCAGATTGTTGTTTTTACACATTAAAATCATCACTCAATCATTGATAGACCATCATAAAAACCCTGGAAGCACTGGAAGGTCTTTTCTTCTTGGTATGGAACTCATCATCAGTGAGCAGCCACAACCCCTGTACTTCGTAGGGTTCGAACTCTTGACCTTTGGTTCTTGTGCGCGAACGTCTACCCTCGGAGTTCTAGTGAGAAGACGTGGCCAGTGGAGTTCAATCCTGTCGGGTGTATGCAGTAACTACCGAAGACAAATGGTTGAGGTCGCGCAAAATCTCTAGATCAATCAGAATTAGACATTAACACCGTTGGATGCCGGCCCAGTGATCCAGAGGTTAGGCGTTCGCGCGCAAGACCGAAGGTCTCGGGTTCGAATCCTGCGAGGTGCAGGAGTTGTGGATGCGCACTGCTGATGAGTCCCATACCAGGACGAAACAGCCGTCCAGTGCTTCCAGGTTTCGAATGGTGGTCTAGCAATGATTGATTAATGATTTCAATGACTAAAATAATAAGCTTATACATTGTGAAAGGGATAGGTAAATATTTGTTTCTATAGGCATATTATTAGTCCTAACTCCTAAAGCATATGTTCTTCGTCGAAGAATATCATGGAATGAACAATATGTGAGATGCTCCAATTCCATCCATTACTGTATGATCACTAATCGATCAAATGTAATACAACACCAAACCTATATATATGAAGTACACTGCTCTCTCTGTTTTGTCCTTCATTATCAACTACATTACATAGTACATGCCTTTTATGTTTTCATTTGTGTTTTCTCCTTATATAGGTCTCAATCTTTCTACAAATCAAAGTTCGTAATCATTAGCAGCAGTAGCAGCACAACTAATGATATAATAAATCTCTCTTGATATGTGATTCAAATATCAAACTAGGAAAGAATAATTTTTATCCATACAATTTTTCTCTTTCATACACATCTCTTACTTGTTTCGTTTCGTTTAGTTTTCTTCTTTGACAAATAATGCACAATGTGATAAACAAACAAACAAACAAACAACCAAAGTGGGTTTTTTTTAATCTCAAAAATTACATCCCCCCATTGTGTTTGATGATCCTATGTGTGGTTTGAATTATCTCTTTGTTCGTGGTTGGTTATTCGTTTAACTGATAGTTCCCATAAAGTGCCTGCTTCTTTAATGATTGTTTTCTGACTGTTTTTTTTTCTTAATTTCTTTCACGTAATATTTCTTCAATGATTGTCTACTATTGTATGTTGTCATTGATATGTAACTTAATTATATAATTTTCCTTCCTTATCACATCATCATGTTTTATTCATTTTCAACTACTTACTTCTGTCTTCTTATTTATTCAATTCTTCCCTTTATAATTTTTTTTACATTGAAAGCAATATGCTGATTTGTTTTTTAGCTTGTAAGTATGTTTGTTGATTTAGATCAACTTCACTAATGAATGGTTCTTGCTTGTACTTACTACATTATCAATACATACTACTTCACTCTCTCTCTCTCTTATGTGTAGTACACTATGTTGATTTTATTGTGTCACAGAATTTTTTCGGTTATGATAGTTGTGTTTTTTTTCTTTCTACATTTTAGTATGTGTTACTACAGCCTAGCTATCAGTCAATCGATTCAGTCTATTTTTGTGTGTATCCTCTTTTATCAATATGTGTTATGGGGATGTTAACGGGTGTAGACTGGATAGCGTATAGGTAGATGTGAGATAAGCTGAGGCGTTTCAGAGTTGCGACGGAATTCCGTAGCTGATGAGTTTGCGTAGTTGTTTCATTTCATGATGAACCCATCGATTGCTTGATAAGTACTTATAAATACTGTTACACTTTTGAGTTTGGGAAAAATGCAGATTATGACTAGAAAGGCCTTGTAAGTTGTGTAGGACAAATCATCTAATCACATACATCAAGTAATCTAATTGAGATGCAGCTCCCTAAAAGTAGAAATAATGGTTCATATAAGCAGAGATGAATGATGGTCAGCAGTGAAAACCAAGACGCACATTTCGTCCCATTTGGGAAGCGTCAGTTGAACATAGCTGCATTTCAGAGTTGATGTTCACTTTGAAACTCAAACCAGGTGCCGTTTGCTACACATGGCATCGCATAGCCGTTGGCTTGAGCCATGGGCTGAAGCTTAATTCATTTGTATTGGTTGTTCGGATCTAACCATCGACATCTCAATTATCAGTTGAAATCCCATAGTAGTAGAGTTAGCAGTATTAGCGGTAATGGAAAGGATTAGAAATCGAATAAATGATTCGAGAAGTATGATCCAGTAAAATAAACTTGATCAGAGATAAAAGGACATGAGAAATCCAGAAGATTAGAGTTTGAGAGAATACAAAGAATGGATGCACCAGAGCCACTACAAACGATTTTGAACCCTGTCACTCAAAATCTATAACCTTTCAGTTATAATTATCCCGCAGACCCCCACCAGGTAGTCCACACATGGTTCAGTTCGAACCCATCGATATTTAGGGCTGTAACTAATCAGACTTAATATAAAGATAGCTCATATACTTTATGATATTCGAATTCAGGGATTTATTCTATAGTTTGTTGGATTGCTTCTACATGCAGTAAGTGAGATCGATGCTTAGGAATCCCTTCATCTGCTGTACAGTTGCGTTACTGTAAATAAAACGCAACTGCACATAATCTAGTTCAAACTTTTATACATTTCAATGCACATTGAACTGAACCCCCCTACCTTTTGAATTGGCCTGTGTTTTTCGTTATGAGCGTTAAAGAACTTGTTTTCACCAGTTATCACTGGAATTTTTAAAGAGATGTGATGACTCATTAGAAAAGTCCCCAATATACTGTTACTGTCTAACGGATAAATCAACTAACATTGATTGATCGTTGACTGCGAAATGTATGTAGGATTTTTCGAGATACTGTAACATTATTGTGCGATATTTTAGACAAGTAAGCCGACAATATTCTGTATTGACTGACTGCATTCTCTGTCATCTGGGGCTCTTATTCATTAGACATAAATTCATGATTAATGTAAGGCGAATGGGAATCGGTGTTAAAGGTTTGAGTTGACCACCATTAAGTTCATACAATCTTAAACATACGCGACGGCTAGATAGGTGATAGATGAAGTTGGCATACGTTTCGTAAGGTTCATTGATCCATAGTGTATACTATCTATAGATAATCTTGACTAGCAAATCAACTACGCGATTAGTATTATTATTTCATTTAACAATGAAGTGTAATATTTGAAACGAAATAATTCTAAAATACTAATTAGTAGAAACATGTTCCGTAAATGATGAATATATTCAACTGGTTCAATGATGGCTAATGGCGCATTAATCAACGCTTAGAAGTAAAGAACTACATGCCATAATAACAATTGTCGAATGACTGACTACATTACCTACCACGACCTTGAACCAAATGATACAACAATACGAAAAGAATGGGTTAACTAGATCAACAGTTAGCAGAAATATGATCCTAACCTTGACAAATGAGAAGACAAACAGGCAAAGAACATATGTGATGCTGACGCTGCTGCTAGTAATTGTAAAACAAGGAAAGTATTATTTCTGAATCGGGCGTAATATTGAAATCCTAGGTAGCCATATAAAAAATTTTCAATCGCTTTAAACAAGCACTAATTCCAAAAATAAACATTAAGCAAATAAACTTGCAACACTTATGAACCACCGTGCATAAGTTGTTATTGTTACTTAACAAGTTTCTAGCCATTTTATATATTCACTTATACTCAAAACAAAATGTACCAGTACCAAGCAGTATACCTCTTGGATATTTGTTATTCTCGTCACTTGTTATGCTTGAAACTACTACGGGTTCACCTTAGTCGATAAACGAGAACAAAACAATCAACCAGAGTCCAGGTAGGCTAATCGGATCCATTGACTAACGAAAAGTCTTGATATATATAGCGTAGAAAGCGTATTCTACAAACACTCAGCGAGCCCACAATGAATTCAAGCACTCAAATTGCATTTATTTATACATCATAGAAACGTCCTTGTGAGAGTCACAAAAATAGCACATTAAAATAACACAGCAACCAATCACAGCCACGTATTCTCCTGGTCGGAAATGCGTTCTCAGGGTCAACTGATTAGCCGATGCTCGGAAACACAAAATTAAGGCATTTATCAAGCGAGTTCTGGTGATCTAACGTCCCCAACAATATTGGAGGTAAAAACCTCAATGAATAAGATCACTACTCTGTTAAGTAAGTTTTGCTTAACCTAAGAAAGAATAATCCATCCATCTATCCGGGAAATTAAACAAAAACACCTTGATACATCGAAATAGATTATGACTGATTGAAGTTTGTGATGTAGGTGCAACTACCTGTTTGTAATTTAAAATTAGCATAATATAAATACAGTGACGAAGTAATAATAATCATACATTATTATACAAGTTAACTTTTTAATGGCAAGGGTAATTTTACATTGGTTTTCAGCAAAACCAAGGAGACTGATCACGTGTTACCATTTCAGTGTGAACAGTTCGGCTCAATTCCTTGGTGTAACCACACAAGGTACCTGATACCCTGATGGACCATTCACACCATTTATATATACACTAGTACATATATATAGAGCTTATTTCCAATCCATGATTGCGTCAATCAATATGCACCGCATAAACGAGCCAATTCGACACATCCCGCTTACATGAGACTGTCAAACTCATTATTATTAGCAATGATGATATGCAGCAATACAGCACCCCAATGACAATAGCCCTCAGGAATGTTGTAAAACAACCACCACCAGTATCAATGAAATCGGTCACCCTGCTAACCAATTCTGTACATGGACTGTTAGCAATACTTGCTTAGAGTAATGCCCAACAATCCACAATGTTCACAACCAACCTCTGATCTCATAGAAAACCTTCAACTCTCTATAGCAATATAGTTTATAGTATACACATTGTATGGCATAGGATAGTAAGAGATGCAACCCAGATTGATATGAGTGGGCTCAAACACTCTTAGTACCACCCTTTGTCTCATGTCATGCATGTAACGATCCCTAACAATCAGACATAAAACAAGTTGAAATAGTGCATATTTATTCATTATATATACATGTACATAAACATCAGTAGTGAATTAAGAAAGAAACATCAATATTAATATGTATACATACATAAAAATAAACAATATCGATGATAGTCATGAAGTCGAAATAACTCCTACATTTCAACCTTTGGCTTCTACTTTTTCGCCACGTATCAGTAGTATATACAATAATGATTAAAAAAACAAAACAAGTAATATCTATAATAATAATTATGAAGATAAAAAGAATAGAACAGAACAGAAAAAATATCACAAGAGTAATTGTTTCTTAATGAAACACTTTCCTTTACAGTATGCAAAAAAAACTCGTTGTATGTGTAACATAATAGTGAACAAAAGGCTTTGATAATATATATACACACAAAGTGAGTTTATTTACTCTGATATAAAAAAGGTAATTCACTTCCAGCAATTGAAATCAAATCTTGATACTGTTTTAATGCTATAGATTGTTTTTTATTAGAAGGACGAATTTTTTTCGGTTGATTAGGTCGACGACGTCGATGGTTACTGCTACTACCACTACTAGTGCTATTCACAAGAGTATTACTCCAACTCTGTATATTATTATTATTATTATTATTATTATTATTATTATTGACATTGATTGGATGATTTGTGTGGAGTGTTGCATCATCAGTTACATTTTGATCATAATGATGTTTTACTGATGGTAATAT